CCAGGACTGGGTTTTTCCTCAGATTCCCCTCACAGGAGGGGGTTGTTTTTTCCCGCAGATTCGTCACTCCGGAGCTGGGTTTTTCGTCAGATGCCCCTCCAGGACTGGGTTTTCCTCAATTCCCCTCACAGGACTGGGTTTGTTTTTTTTCCCGCAGATTCCCCTCCCCAGGAAGGGGTTGTTCCGCAGATTCCCCTCCCAGGACTGGGTTTTTTGCCTCGATTCCCACTCCCAGACGGGTTTTTCCTACAGATTCCCCTCCCAGGACTGGGTTTGTCCTCAGATTTCCACTCCCAGGACTGGGTGTTCCGCGAGGCCCATCCCAGGACTGGGTTTTTCCTCAGATTCCCCTCCCAGGACTGGGTTTTTCCTCAGATTCCCCTCCCAGGACTGGGTTTTTCCTCAGATTCCCCTCCCAGGACTGGGTTTTTCCTCAGATTCCCCTCCCAGGACTGGGTTTTTCCTCAGATTCCCCTCCCAGGATGGGGTTTTTCCTCAGATTCCCCTCCCAGGATTGGGTTTTTCCTCAGATTCCCCTCCCAGGATGGGGTTTTTCCTCAGATTCCCCTCCCAGGACTGGGTTTTTCCTCAGATTCCCCTCCCAGGATTGGGTTTTCCCTCAGATTCCCCTCCCAGGATTGGGTTTTCCCTCAGATTCCCCTCCCAGGATTGGGTTTTTCCTCAGATTCCCCTCCCAGGATTGGGTTTTTCCTCAGATTCCCCTCCCAGGACTGGGTTTTTCCTCAGATTCCCCTCCCAGGATGGGGTTTTTCCTCGGAAACGCCCCGACCTGCTCCGTTGACCCCCCCCAGAGCTCCCAAATTTCCCCTTCCAGGAGCAGCTCCGAGACCAAGGCCCTGTTTGAGAGGCACCGGCCCACCCACGTCATCCACTTGGCCGCCATGGTCGGGGGCCTCTTCAAGAACATCCGCTCCAACCTGGATTTCTGGGTGAGCCCACGGAAAACCGGCACCGTCGGGATCCCCGGGATGGGGGATATGGGGACGCAGGGATAGGGGGGCTCCTTCTGCTTCCAGAGCCAAGAGCTCCGGTGGCTCCGGGAGTTATTAACGAGCCGCCGCTCGCCGGGCGACGAAGGGATTTGGGGAATCTCCCAAATCCCACAATCCCGACAAATCTCTCCTTTCCCAGAGGACAAACATCCACATCAACGACAACGTCCTGCACTCGGCCCACGAGATGGGGGTGGAGAAGGTGGTCTCCTGCCTCTCCACCTGCATCTTCCCAGACAAGACCACGTATCCCATCGACGAGAGCATGGTGAGCGCTCCCGTCCCCGCACGACATTCCAGGGAATGTCCCTTCCCCGCTTACCGCTCCGCTCCCGTATTCCCAGATCCACAACGGGCCCCCTCACAGCTCCAACTTCGGCTACTCCTACGCCAAGAGGATGATTGACATCCAGAACAGGTGAGGGAGGGACACGCGGGAGCCCCTTCCCAGGGTGGAAACACCCCTTGGTTATCGAGGCAACGGGAATCCCGTGGGATTCCCGGGATTTAAACGGCGCCGGGGTGGAAGGTGGGGAGAGATACCTGGGATCGGCGGGTGAAGGTGCTGCTGGCTGGGGTCTCGTGGGGCCGTTCCAGTGGCTGATTTCCCGCCCCTGCTGCCATCCAGGGGTTATTCCGAGCAGCACGGCCGGCGCTTCACCGCCGTCATTCCCACCAACGTCTTCGGGCCGCACGACAACTTCAACATCGAGGACGGCCACGTCCTGCCGGGGCTCATCCACAAGGTCCACCTGGCCAAACGTGAGGGTGGCAGCGCTCCTGGGGGGGTTTTTTTTTGGGAAGGGTTTTCCAACTCTCCACCTGCTCCGCGAGGTGGTGACGGCCGCGCTCCTTCCTCCCGCAGAGTCCGGCTCCGCTCTGACCGTGTGGGGAACGGGAAAGCCCAGGAGGCAGTTCATCTACTCCCTGGTGGGTGGGGCCTTGGGAAGCAGGGAATGGGGCTGGAAAGGCTGGAATGGGATCCAGAGGGGTCTGAGCCCACCTGGCTTGTCCTGGGCCATCCTCAGGGTTGGGTTCCCTTGGCATGGGAGGGCAAAGCCAGGAGACAGTTCATCTACTATTCCCAGGTTTGGGAAGCAGGAAATGGGGCTGGAAGGACAAAGCCAGGAGACAGTTCATCTACTCCGTAGGCTGTGGGGCCTTGGAAGTAGGGAAGGGGGCTGGAAAGGCTGGAATGGGATCCAGAGGGGTCTGAGCCTGCCTGGCTTGTCCTGGGCCATCCTCAGGGTTGGGTTCCCTTGGGATAGGAGGGCAAAGCCAGGAGACAGTTCATCATCTACTCCCTGGGGTGTGGGGCCTTGGGAAGCAGGGAATGGGGCTGGGAAGACTGGGAGTGGGACCCCAGAGGGGTCTGAGCCCACCTGGTTTGTCCTGGGTTGGGTTCCTTGGGAATGGGAACGCTGGGAACAGCAGTGACCCCCCCAAGGGTTGTCTGCTCTTCCCCCCAGGACCTGGCCCGGCTCTTCCTTTGGGTCCTGCGGGAATACGACGAGGTGGAGCCCATCATTTTGTCAGGTGAACCTCCCCCCCAGACCTCCCCCTGTCCATCCCCTCTCCACGAGGGAACAGCCACGATCCCGTCCTTCCCCGCAGTGGGAGAAGAAGACGAGGTGTCCATCCGGGAGGCGGCGGAGGCCGTGGCGGAGGCCATGGATTTCCGGGGAGAGCTCCTCGTATCCTTCACCGGGGAGGGCTCCTGGGGGGGATCCCACGCTCCACCAGGACACGGTGGGGGCAAAGCAACGCCCATTTTCCCTCCTTAATCCCTGCCATCCCAGTTTGACCCCAGCAAGGCCGACGGGCAGTTCAAGAAGACGGCCAGCAACGCCAAACTCCGGCGGTACCTGCCCGGCTTCCAGTTCACTCCCTTCAGGAAAGGTGAGGTGGGGACATGGAGGTCCTGCCTCTGCCAGCCTTGGTGCCATCAGGGTGGTCCATCCTTCGGGATGAGGGTGGTGGAACACTGGCACGGGGTGTCCAGGGACGTTGGTGGTTTCTCCGTCCCTGGGAAGTGTCCAAGGTCAGGTTGGATGGGGCTTGGAGCAAGCTGGGATAGTGGGAGGTGTCTCTTTGCACAGTGGTTGGATGAGATGACCTGAAAGAGTCCCTTCCAATCCAGCCCATTCCATGATTCTGTGAAGAAAATCCGTACCCAAATCCCCAAACCCATCCCATGATTCTGACCAAAATCTGTCCCCAAATCCTCAAACCCATCCCATGATTCTGACCAAAATCCATTCCCAAATCCCCAATCCCATCCCATGATTCCCTGACCAAAATCCATTCCCAAATCCCCAATCCCATCCCATGATTCTGACCAAAATCCATTCCCAAATCCCCAATCCCATCCCATGATTCCCTGACCAAAATCCATTCCCAAATCCCCAAACCCATCCCATGATTCTGACCAAAATCTGTCCCCAAATCCTCAAACCCATCCCATGATTCTGACCAAAATCTGTCCCCAAATCCTCAAACCCATCCCATGATTCTGACCAAAATCCATTCCCAAATCCCCAATCCCATCCCATGATTCTGACCAAAATCTATTCCCAAATCCCCAATCCCCATCCCATGATTCTGACCAAAATCTGTCCCCAAATCCTCAAACCCATCCCATGATTCTGACCAAAATCCATTCCCAAATCCCCAATCCCATCCCATGATTCCCTGACCAAAATCCATTCCCAAATCCCCAAACCCATCCCATGATTGTGACCAAAATCTATTCCCAAATCCCCAAACCCATCCCATGATTCCCTGACCAAAATTCATTCCCAAATCCCCAATCCCATCCCACGATTCCCTGACCAAAATCCATTCCCAAATCCCCAAACCCATCCCATGATTGTGACTAAAATCTATTCCCAAATCCCCAAACCCATCCCATGATTCCCTGACCAAAATCCACTCCCAAATCCCCAAACACATCCCATGATTTTATGACCAAAATCTATTCCCAGTCCCATCCCATGATTCTATGACCAAAATCTGCTCCCAAATCCCCAAACTCACCCCATGATTCTGTGACCAAATTCTGCTCCCAAAATCCCTGACTTATCCCATGATTCCGTGACCAAAATCCATTCCCAAATCCTCAAACCCATTCCATGATTCTCTGACCAAAAATCCATCCCAACCCCAACCCATGATTTTCTGACCAAAAATCCATCCCAAACCCCCAAACCCATCCCATGATTTTATGACCAAAATCTATTTTCAAGTCCCATCCCATGATTCTGTGACCAAAATCTGCTCCCAAATCCCCAAACCCATCCCATGATTCCGTGACCAAAATCCATTCTCAAATCCCCAATCCCATTCCATGACTCTATGACCAAAATCCATCCCCAAACCCATCCCGTGATTTTATGACCAAAATCCATCCCAAATCCCATCCCACAATTCTATGACCAAAATCTGCTCCCAAAACCCATCCCATTTTATGACCCAAGTCCATTCCCAATCCCACCTTCTCCCTCCGCAGCCGTGAAGGAAACCTGTGCCTGGTTCGACGCCAACTACGCCGACGCCAGGAAGTGACGGCACCGGGATCACCGGGATCATCCTCTTCCAACTCAGGGTTGTCCTTTGCTGGGGCAGAGGACAGGGCTGGGGGGGGTGACAGGGACAATTCCAAAGGGAAAAAAACAGGAGCCCAGGGAGCAGCTCCCACATTCCTGCCCCGTGCCGGGAGCGGCGCGGGACGCCCAGGGCAGGGAGGGGCGGGAAGGTCGGAGTATCCCAAAGGGATCCCAAATTAGGTGGTAGGAAGGAGCCACCGTGGTGGTGTCCAAGAGGATGGTGAGCTGTTAATGAGCTGCGCTAATTACCTGGAATTAGGCCTAATAACGGGAAGGGGATCGGGATTCCGCGGCACAGGGACGGCAGCCAAGGGATTCGCTGCTGGCTCTTGGCACATGGGGATGATCCCACGGGATAAGGGGGGACCAGAGCGGGAAAGACTCCAGCTGGAAACGTGGCATTTATTAAAATATATGCAAATAACCAAATATATGCAAATAACCTAAAATTGGCGGGATGAGGAGCCTCTGCCCCGAACCCACATCCAACGGCATCCACGTATTCTCCGCCAGGATCTGGGAGAGCCAAAAAAAAAAAAAGAAAGGGGGTTTAAAAGCCCTCAGGGAGGGGGTGGAGGGTCAAAAGCAGGGGATGAATCCATGGCCGAGCTGCTGCCGGAGGCGTGGATGTGGCACAAGTCCTTCCCGGGAATGGCTTTCTTCCGGCATCGCTGCCCGGCCCTGGTGAGCGCCCGGCACAGGGAGCGTGGGGACAGCAGGGACCTGCAGGGGACACGCCCGTCAGCCCCCCCAGGAGGCCACAGCCCACGCTGGGGTGACACCAGGCCCTGGGGAAGGGACGGCCCGGGTGGTCGGAGCTCACGTGGTGGCCCTCGGGATGCAGGGATTGGGCTCCCGGCGCTTCCTGGTGTCCGTGACCGGCTCCGGCGTCGCCTGGTGGGGAAGAAAGGGTTTAGGAGGCCCTTCCAACCCATCCTGTGATTCTGTGGCCAAAATCCACTCCCAAATCCCCAAACCCATCCCATGATTCCCTGACCAAAATCTGCTCCCAAATCCCCAAACCCATCCCCTGATTCCTTGACCAAAATCCATTCCCAAATCCCCAAACCCATCCTATGATTCTGTGACCAAAATCCATTCCCAAATCCTCAAACCCATCCCATTATTTTATGACCAAAATCCATTCCCAAATCCCCAAACTCATCCCCTGATTCCCTGAACAAAATCCATTCCCAAATCCCCAAACCCATCCGGTGATTCTGTGGCCAAAATCCACTCCCAAATCCCCAAACCCATCCTATGATTTTATGACCAAAATCCATTCCCAAATCCCCAATCTCATCCCCTGATTCCATGACTAAAATCCACTCCCAAATCCCCAATCCCATCCCATGATTCCCTGACCAAAATCCATTCCCAAATCCATTCCCAATCCCCAATCCCATCTCATGATTCCCTGACCGAAATCCATTCCCAATCCCCAAACCCATCCCATGATTCTGTGACCAAAATCCATTCCCAAATCCATTCCCAATCCCCAATCCCATCCTATGATTCCCTGACCAAAATCCACTCCCAAATCCCCAAACCCATCCCATGATTCCGTAACCAAAACCCATTCCCGAAGAGCAGGTTTTTGAGGGACAACCCCAATTTGGGGACATCCCATCCAGCACCACTTACCCCACGTGAGCTCCGCGTCGTCCTCCGGCCACCAGGAACAGGTGACACCCATCCTACGGAGCCGGGAATGTCCTGGGGCTGCTCCGGGTGCGAGGGCTCTGGAAGAACATGGAGACACCTCCCAGTGCTCCAGGCGGAGGTTGGGGACACTTGGAATGGTGCCACGTGCCCTGGCAGAGCTTGGGGACGCTCTGGGATGACACTGGATGGGGACACTGGATGGGGGGGACACGCCAGGGTGTTGGATCTGTGTCCTGGATCCCCACATCTCCTACAGCGTGGTCACCTCGCACGCAGCTCATCTCCATCCTGTCCAGCTCCTCCTGGAGCAGCTCCAGGTCGCATTCCCTGCATGGGAAGAAGGACAATCGGCTCCTATGTCACCACCATGATGGTCTGTGAGCAGCTCTCCAGCCTCTCCACCCCCTTCTCCCAGCAGGAACAGGGCAGGGAGCTGGGATGAGGTGCCCCAAATCCGTAGGGAAGCCACCAAGATGTCCATCAAGGTGGACAATGGAGGTGTCTCCTGTCCCTTCCTGGGAACCTCTGCCAGGAGGCTCCAGGATGGGGCATCCAGGATGGGGCACCCAGGATGGGGCACCCAAGCACGGGGCACCCAAGCACGGGGCACCCAAGCACGGGGCACCCAAGCACAAATAGGTGCCCAAAATCCATAGGAAAGCCATCAAGGTGTGTCCTGTCCCTTCCCAGGAACCTCTGCCAGATGGTTCCAGGATGGGACACCAAGGACGAGACACCAAAGATGGGACACCCAGGATGGAACACCCAGGATGGGACACCCAAGCAGAAATAGGTGTCCAAAATCCATAGGAAAGCCATCAAGGTGTGTCCTGTCCCTTCCCAGGAACCTCTGCCAGGTGGCTCCAGGATGGGACATCTGGGAGGAGACATCCAAGCAGAAACAGGGCAGGGAGCTGGGATGAGGTGCCCAAAATCCATGGGAAAGCCATCAAGGTGTGTCCTGTCCCTTCCCGGGAACCTCTGCCAGGTGGCTCCAGGATGGGACTTCCAGGATGGGACACCCAGGGTGGAATGCCCAGGACAGGTCCCACCAGCTCCCAAGGGTGCCACGCCCACCCCCTCAACCCTCTCCTATCTCTCCGGGGTGGAGGTGAGCCGGTGAGGGATTTTTTCCCGGGAAACTGCCGGTCGGATCCCTCTGGATGCCACCAGCTGCTGTCCTGCAGGACAACAGGAGGGTGGGAGAGGGCAGAGCACCCCCAGGGTGGTGTGTCCCCATCCAGGCGTCCCCACACCCGTCCCCACCTGCCACAGCAAGGGCCAGGAGAGCGGAGAGCTCCGGGATTCCGAGGGCGCTGGAAGCCAGGAAAAGGCGGAGGAGGAGGAGGATCAGCCAGAGCAGCGCCAGCACCAGGAGAAGAACCAGCAGCACTGAGTAGGAGCCGGGTGGGATGAAGGTGGAGGTGGCACTTGGGCTCTGACCTGTGGGATGAGATGGAAAAACCTGGAATTGGCACCCACCGGCTCCCATCCGCGCTCCAGCCCCTATTCCCGCTCACCATCCGGGCTGGGAACGGCCTTGAGGCGCTCCAGGTGGTTTTCCAGCTGGCTCTGTGTGTCCTCCAAGGCCTCCAACATCAGCTCCAGGCTCTGGTTGAGCTTCTGCAGCTTCTCCATCACCTCCCGAAGGACCAGGGCACTCTCTGCGGGTGGGAAAGATGGATACGGTGGTGGGATGAGCCTGGGAAAGTGAAAAAAGCTGGGAATGGGGTTTGCTGGGTTCCCACCTCGTCGGGGATAAACATCGCGAGGTCTTTCCTGCTCCTGAGGGAGGTGGGATGGGAAAACCCGGTGTCCTTCCCCGAGCTCTGCAGCCCCCCGGCTGCTCCCATTCCCTGTGGAGGAGGGATAAGAGGTTGGATCAATCCCAAGGTGGGACAGGGGGATTCTCAGCATCCTTGGATCAACCCAAAACCCAGGGGGATGTCTCAGCATCCTTGGATCAACCCAAAACCCAGGGGGATGTCTCAGCATCCTTGGATCAATCCCAAATCCAGGGGGATTCTCAAAATCCTTGAATCAATCCCAAACCCAGGGGGATGTCTCAGCATCCTTGGATCAATCCCAAGGTGGGATATGGGGATGTCTCAGAATTCCTTGGATCAATCCCAAGGTGGGATATGGGGATGTCTCAGCATCCTTGGATCAATCCCAAGGTGGGATATGGGGATGTCTCAGAATTCCTTGGATGAATCCCAAGGCAGGGGATGTCTCAGCATCCTTGGATCAATCCCAAGGTGGGATATGGGGATGTCTCAGCATCCTTGGATCAATCCCAAGGTGGGATATGGGGATGTCTCAGCATCCTTGGATCAATCCCAAAGTGGGACAGGGGGATGTCTCAGCATGTCTGGATTAATCCCAAAGTGGGATATGGGGAATTCTCAACATCTTTGGATCAATCTCAAGGTGGGATATGGGGACGTCTCAGCATCCTTGGATCAATCCCAAAGTGGGACAGGGAGATGTCTCAGCAGCCTTGGATCAATCCCAAATCCAGGGGGATTCTCAGCAGCCTTGGATCAATCCCAAGGTGGGATATGGGGATGTCTCAGAATTCCTTGGATCAATCCCAAGGCAGGGGATGTCTCAGCATCCCTGGATCAACCTCAAGGTGGGATATGGGGATGTCTCAGAATTCCTTGGATGAATCCCAAGGCAGGGGATGTCTCAGCATCCCTGGATCAATCCCAAGGTGGGATATGGGGATGTCTCAGCATCCCTGGATCAATCCCAAGGTGGGATACGGGGATGTCTCAGCATCCCTGGATCAATCCCAAGGTGGGATATGGGGATGTCTCAGCACCCTTGGATCAATCCCAAACCCAGGGGGATGTCTCAGCATTCCAGAGCCAGCTCGTACCCATCCGGTGGGCGACGTCCTCCAGGAGCTGGACCACGGGGGTCTCATCCAGCGCCAGCCTCATCCAGGTCTCCCCCAGCTCCTCCTGTGGGGAATATTCAGGAAGTTGGTGACGGGGGGTGACCCCAAACCCCCCCCATCCCCCAGGGAGGTGCCCACGGACACCCCAAAACGAGCCCTCAGCCCCCCGGGGTGCTCCCAGCGCAGGGTGGGGGCCCAGAAAGGGGGGAATTTGGGGTGAAAAATACGAAAAAGAGTGTGAGAACCGCCCCAGAACTTGACCTTCACGCCCCAAAAAACACCCCCACACCGAGCAAGGCGAGGCCTGGGGTGGGGGGGTCCCAGGAACCCCCATTTCCCAGCCGGGGGGGGGGTCCCACCCTGGATGGTGACAGGAGTCCAGGGGTGACACCTCCCGGGCTGGGGCTTCATCCTGGCACTGGTTGTCACCTGTGGTGTCTTGAGGGGGTCCCCAGTTCCCTGGGGGAGGGTCCCCACCTCCTCTGAGGGGGCAGCGAGGCCCAGCCCCCCCAAAATCCCGGCGCAGAGGAGCAGCAGAGCCCGGGAGCTCCAGGGCAGCATCGTGGGAATGGGGGGGTCCTGTGGGGAGAAGAAGGTTGGGAGAAGCCCCTCAGATCCAGGGACAAATTTTGGGACCCCCTACCCCGAATTTGGGGGGACCAATCCCACTGAGGGGACCCTCCCATAGTCCCAGGGGTGCCGATGATGGTCCTGTGGGGAGAAGGGGGTGGGAAACACCTTGGAGTGGGGAGCACATCCATGGACAAATTTGGGGACTTCCCCACCTCAAATTTGAGGGACCCATCCAACCTGAGGGGACCCCCCCATAGTCCCAGGGGTGCCGGCAGTGTCCTGTGGGGAGAAGAGGGTGGGAACCCCCCCTGCGCCCACGGACGAACTGTGGGACCCCTGTCCCAAATTTGGGGGACCCCCCCATAGTCCCAGGGGTGCCCAAGGGGGTCCTATGGGAAGAAGAGGGTGGGAAACACCCCCCACACCAAAATCGATGGACAATTTGGGGATGTCCCCACCCCAAATTTGGGAGACCCACCCCACTGAGGGGACCCCCATAGTCCCAGGGGTGCCGATGGGGGTCCTATGGGGAGAAGGGGGTGGGAAACACCTTGGAGTGGGGAGCACATCCATGGACAAATTTGGGGGACTTCCCCACCCCAAATTTGAGGGACCCACCCAACTTGAGGGGACCCCCCCATAGTCCCAGGGGTGCCCATAGGGGGTCCTCTAAGGAGAAGAGGGTGGGAAACTCCCCCAAGCCCACGGACAAACTGTGGGACCCCCGTCCCAAATTTGGGGGACCTTCCCATAGTCCCAGGGGTGCCGGCGGGGTCCCGTGGGGAGAAGAGGGTGGGAAACCCCCCCGCGCGCCCACGGACAAATTTGGGGGTCCCACCCCACCGAGTGACCCCCCCCCGCAATTCCCAGATGTCCCGAGGGCTCCGCCGAGCACCCTGGGGGGGTGGGGACATATCGCGACCCGTCGGGGACCCCCCTCAGGACCCCCCCAACCAACCACGTGGCGGCCGCGCGCCTGCGCAGATCCCCCCCTCGGCTAAGCCGCGCCCCTTTATAGGCGGTTCAGCCAATAGGAGGGAGGGGCGGGGCGGGCGGGGCCATGTGGTGGGCGGGGCGGTGTGGGCGTGGTCTCTGCGAGGGGGCGTGTCCCGCGGCGGGCCGGGGGCGATGGAGGAGCCGCCGCTGTGGGTCGGGTTCGTGGGCGCGGGGAGGATGGCCGGGGGGCTCGCCCGGGGGCTCCTGCAGGCGGGTACGGCCCGGGGAGGCTCGGGGGGTCAGGGGGGACCCTCAAACACGGGGAGGGGAGGGGGCGTGGGGACAGACCCTCCCTCCTCTTGCCTCCGCGTGTCGCTGTCACACGGGGAGGGGACATGGGGACAGTCCCGGTCTGGGGATGTGGCGGGTCACTGACCCACGGGGAGGGGACGTGGGGACGTGGGGAGAGTCCTGCACTGGTCCCTCACCGGGGGGAACTGGGGGGGGTCCCGTGCCACGGAAATGGGAGGGGACATGGGGACAGCCCTATCCTGTCCCCCTCCCCGCGGTCCCTGTCCCCCAGTCCTGGTCTGGCACCTCCACGGGGGATCTGGGGGGTCTCTCATCCACGGGGGTGGGAGGGGACATGGGGACAGGCCTGGTCTGGAACCTCCCCGGGGCGCCTGAGGGGTCCCTGACACACGGAGAGGGGACATGGGGATATGGGGACAGGCCTGGTCTGGCCCCTCCCTCGGGGTCCCTGCCATCCCCAGGGTCTCCGACCTTCAGTACAGGGACATGGGGACAATCCTGGTCTGGCTCCTGCCCCGGGGTTTTGGGAAGTCCCTGATCCACCGAGAGGGGAGGGGACATGGGACAGTCCTGGTCTGGAACCTCCCCGGGGGATCTGGGTGGTCCCTGATCCACGGGAGTGGAGGGGATATGGGGACAGCCCTGTCCTGTCCCCCTCCCCGCGGTCCCTGTCCCCCAGGCCTGGTCTGGCACCTCCACGGGGGATCTGGGGGGTCTCTCATCCACGGAGGTGGGAGGGGACATGGGGACAGGCCTGGTCTGGAACCTCCCTCGGGGTCCCTGCCATCCCCAGGGTCTCTGACCTTCAGTACAGGGACATGGGGACAATCCTGGTCTGGAACCTCCCCGGGGGGCCTGAGGGGTCCCTGACACACGGAGGGGAGACATGGGGACATGGGGACAGCCCTGGTCTGGAACCTCCCCGAGGGATTTGGGGGGTCCCTGATCCACGGAGAGGGGAGAGGACATGGGGACAATCCTGGTCTGGAACCTCCCCGGGGGATCTGGGTGGTCCCTGATCCACCGAGAGGGGAGGGGACATGGGGACAGCCCTGTCCCCCTCACTAGAGTCCCTGCCCTCCCCCGGGGCTGTGTCCTCCCGTTCAGGGACATGGGGACAACCTGCTCGTGGTCCCTCCTCTGCGTCCCTGACCTCCAGTGGAGGGACATGGGGACAGCCCCGACCTGTCCCTCTCCCGGGGTCCCTGCTCTTCCTGGGATCCCTGTTCCACAGATCAGTGCGGGGACATGGGGACATCCCTGTCCTGCCCCTCTCCTGGGATCCCTGCTCTTCCTGGGATCCCTGTCCCACAGATCAGTGCGGGGACATGGGGACATCCCTGTCCTGCCCCTCTCCCGGGATCCCTGCTCTTCCTGGGATCCCTGTCCCACAGATCAGTGCAGGGACACGGGGACATCCCTGTCCTGCCCCCTCCCTGGTGTCCCTGTCCCACAGATCAGTGCAGGGACATGGGGACAGTCCTGTCCTACCCCCTCCCTGGTGTCCCTGTCCCGCAGATCAGTGCAGGGACATGGGGACAGTCCTGTCCTACCCCCTCCCTGGTGTCCCTGTCCTATAAAACAGTGTGGGGACATAGGGACAGTCCTGTCCTGTCCTATTCCCCTGGAATCCCTGCTTTCCCTGTCCCACAGGTCAGTGGGGACATGGGGACATCCCTGTCCTGCCCCTCTCCCAAAATCCCTGCTCTCCCTGGTGTTCCCATCCCACAGATGAGTGCAGGGACATGGAGACAGTCCTGTTCTGCCCCTCTCCTGGGTCCCTGCTCTTCCTGGGATCCCTGTCCCACAGATCAGTGTGGAGACATGGGGACATCCCTGTCCTGCCCCCTCCCTGGTGTCCCTGTCCTATAAAACAGTGTGGGGATGTGGGGACATGGGGATAGTCCAGTCCTGCCCCCTCCCTGCTGTCCCTGTCCCACAGATCAGTGGGGACATGGGGACATCCCTGTCCTGCCCCCTCCCTGGTGTCCTTGTCCCACAGATCAGTGGGGACATGGGGACATCCCTGTCCTGCCCCTCTCCCGGGATCCCTGCTCTTCCTGGTGTCCCTGTCCCACAGATCAGTGCAGGGACATGGGGACAACCCTGTCCTGCCCCTCCCTGGTGTCCCTGTCCCACAGATCAATGTGGGGACATGAGGACAGCCCTGTCCTATTCCCCTGGAATCCCTGCTTTCCCTGTCCCACAGGTCAGTGGGGATATGGGGACATCCCTGTCCTGCCCCTCTCCCAAAATCCCTGCTCTCCCTGGTGTTCCCGTCCCACAGATCAGTGCAGGGACATGGGGACAACCTTGTCCTGCCCCCTCCCTGGTGTCCCTGTCCTATAAAACAGTGTGGGGATGTGGGGACATGGGGATAGTCCTGTCCTGCCCCCTCCCTGCTGTCCCTGTCCCACAGATCAGTGCAGGGACATGGGGACATCCCTGTCCTGCCCCCTCCCTGGTGTCCCTGTCCCACAGATCAGTGGGGACATGGGGACATCCCTGTCCTGCCCCCTCCCTGGTGTCCCTGTCCCACAGATCAGTGGGGACATGGGGACATCCCTGTCCTGCCCCCTCCCTGCTGTCCCTGTCCCATAGATCAGTGTGGGGACATGGGGACATCTCTGTCCTGCCCCCTCCCTGCTGTCCCTGCCCCACAGACAGTGGGGCCACAGCCCTTCCCTCCTCCCCGGGTGTCCCTGATTGTCCCCGTGGTGTTCCCAGCAGGATCCATCCCCATCCCCCTTTAATCCCACTGGGATCCTGCAGGGACTGGGGGAGGGAATCACATCCCTGTGGAGCTCGGGGGGGGGGTCCCCACCACCCTGGGGCCGCCCTGGGTGCTCAGGACCCTAATCCTGCCCCTGTCCCTGCGTATCCCAAGGGAAGGTCCCGGCCGGCAACATCCTGGCCAGCGCTCCCTCCGATAAAAACCTGGAAGTTTGGAGGGTGAGTGGGGCCTTTTCCCCCTTTTCCCACCCCTTTGGCTCATCCTTCCTGGATCTGGGTGAGATCCAGGCACAGGGCCCCGAGCTGTGTCCCTACATCCGTGTCCAGGGGGGCTGGGTTTGGGGGGGCTGGGTTTTGGGGGTGCTCTTTTTTAGGGGGCTGATTTTGAGGGTGCTGATTTCGGGATTACTGGTTTTGGGGGTTTGGGGTTTTGGGGTTGCTGATTTGGGGGTTACTGTGTTTTGGGGTTTTGGGGGTTTTGGGTTGCTGATTTGGGGGTTACTGGGTTTTGGGGTTGCTGATTTTGGGGTTACTGGGTTTGGGGTTGCTGGGTTTAGGGTGCTGGTTTTGGGGTTGCTCATTTTGGGGTTACTGGGTTTTTGGGGTTGCTGGGTTTAGGGTGCTGGTTTTGGGGTTGCTGATTTTGGGGTTACTGGGTTTTGGGGTTACTGGGTTTAGGGTGCTGGTTTTGAGGGTGCTGATTTCAGGATTGCTGGTTTTGGGGTTTTGGAGGTGCGGGGTTTGAGGTGCTGGTTTTGGGGTTGCTGATTTGGGGGTTACTGGGTTTTGGGGTTGCTGGGTTTCGGGTGCTGGGTTTTGGGGTTGCTGATTTTCAGGATGCTGGTTTGGGATTGTTGATTTTGGGGTTGCTGGGTTTTGGGGTTACTGGGTTTACGGTACTGGGTTTAGGGTGCTGGTTTTGAGGGTGCTGATTTTGGGATTGCTGGTTTTGGGGTTTTGGAGGTGCGGGGTTTGGGGTGCTGGTTTTGGGGTTGTTGATTTGGGGGTTACTGGGTTTGGGGTTGCTGGGTTTAGGGTGCTGGGTTTGGGGTTGCTGGGTTTTGGGGTTACTGGGTTTACAGTGCTGGTTTTGGGGTTGCTGGGTTTGGGATTGCTGGGTTTGGGGTTCTGGGTTTTAGGGATGCTGATTTTAGGAATGCTGGTTTTGGGGTTGCTGGGTTTGGGATTGCTGGGTTTGGGGTGCTGGGTTTTAGGGATGCTGATTTTAGGAATGCTGGTTTTGGGGTTGCTGATTTTCAGGATGCTGGTTTGGGGTTGCTGATTTTGGGGTTGCTGGGTTTTGGGGTTTCTGGGTTTTGGGGTTACTGAGTTTTGGGGTTTCTGGGTTTTGGGATTGCTGATTTTGGGGCTACTGAGTTTTGGGGTTTCTGGGTTTTGGGATTGCTGATTTTGGGGTGCTGGGTTTTGGGGTTGCTGGGTTTACGGTGCTGGTTTTGGGGTTGCTGATTTTTAGGATGCTGGTTTGGGGTGCTGGGTTTGGGGTGCTGGGTTTTAGGGATGCTGATTTTAGGAATGCTGGTTTGAGGGATGCTGATTTTTAGGGTGCTGGTTAAGGGGTTGATGCTGAGGTTGATGGGTTTTGAGGTGCTGGTTTTGGGGTTGCTGATTTTTAGGCTGCTGGTTTGGGGTTGCTGATTTTGGGATTGCTGTTTTGGGGGATGCTGGGTTTCAGGGTGCTGCTTTGGGGGTTGATAGTTTGGGGGATGCTGGTTTTTAGGGTGCCAGTTTGGGGCTGCTGGTTTTTAGGCTGCTGGCTTGGGGTTGCTGGTTTTTGGGATTGATGGGTTTTGAGGTGCTGCTTTTAGGGCTGTGACACCTCTCCCTGTCCCGTGGGCAGGAGTTGGGGTGCAGGACCACGCACTGCAACCTGGAGGTGGTGCAGAGGAGCACCCTGGTCTTCCTGGCCACCAAACCCCACGTGCTCCCGGGGGTCCTGGAGGAGATCCGGCCTGCCGTGGGCACCCACCACATCGTGGTCTCCCTGGTGGCCGGAGTCACCATCCAGACACTGCAGAGGGTGAGCCTCCTTCTCCTCCTCCTCCTCTTCTCCTCCTCCTCCTCCTCCTCCTCTTCTCCTCCTCCTCCTCCTCCTCCTCCTCCTCCTCCTTCTCCTTCTCCTTCTCCTTCTCCTTCTCCTCTGTCTCCTTTTCCTCCTTTTCCTCCTCCTTCTTCTCTCCTTCTCTTCTCATTTTCTCCTTCTCCATCTCTCATTCTCCTCTCCTTTTCCTTCTCCTTCTCCTCCTCTCCTGCTTCTTTGTCTTCTCCTTGTCCTCTTCTCGTTTTCCTTCTCCTCCTTTTCCTCCCTCTATTCTTCCTCCTTCTCCTTCTCCTTCTCCTTCTCCTTCTCCTTCTCCTTCTCCTTCTCCTTCTCCTTCTCCTTCTTCCTTTTTCTTCTTTTCCTCTCCTTCTTCTCCTTCTCCTTCTCCTCCCTTTCCCCCCCGGCCCCACAGAGGACGCACCCCCGCGGCCTTGTCCCCACCTGGTTCCCCTCCCCTCCCGCTCCTTCCCCACCTCCCCACTTCTCCCCCAGCCCCTCTGGGTGACCCCCCCAGTGTCCGGGACACCTTTGGGTCCTTCCCGGTGCCGTCTCCCCTTCTCCCATCCCGTCTCTCCGCAGCTGCTCCCGCCCTGGACGAAGGTGCTCCGGCTGATGCCCAACCTGCCGTGCGTGGTGCAGGCGGGCGCCATGGTCTTCTCCCGGGGCAGCAGCGCCGGCGACAAGGAATCGGCTCTCCTGAAGAACCTCCTGGCGTCCTGCGGGCTCTGCGAGGAGGTTCCCGAATCCTACATCGACATCCACACCGGCCTCAGCGGCAGCGGCGTGGCCTACGTGAGCGCCGGGGCGGAATTCCCACCCCGTCGGGATGGGGGGGGCTCTCCTCGCCCCCCGGCTCACCCCGGATGTCCCCGTTGTCCCCCCCCAGGTGTACCTGTTTGCCGAAGCCTTGGCCGAGGGCGCGGTGAAGATGGGAATGCCGGGAGCCTTGGCCGGCAGGATCGCGGCGCAGACGCTGCTGGTGAGTCGGGAACCGGCGGCGTTGTTCCCTTCCCGCCTTTCCTGCTCCCTTCCCGCCTTTCCTGCTCCCTTCCCGCCTTTCCCATTCCCTTCCTGCCTTTCCTGCTCCCTTCTGGCCTTTCCTGTTCCCTTCCCACCTTTCCCGTTCCCTTCCCACCTTTCCCGTTCCCTTCCCACCTTTCCCGTTCCCTTCCCGCCTTTCCCATTCCCTTTCCGCCTTTCCCACTCCCTTCTCGCCTTTCCTGCTCCCTTCCCGCCTTTCCCATTCCCTTCCCGCCTTTCCCATTCCCTTCCCACCTTTCCTGTTCCCTTCCCGCCTTTCCCATTCCCTTCCCGCCTTTCCTGCTCCCTTCCCGCCTTTCCTGCTCCCTTCCTGCCTTTCCCGTTCCCTTCCCGCCTTTCCCATTCCCTTCCTGCCTTTCCCACTCCCTTCCTGCCTTTCCCGTTCCCTTCCCGCCTTTCCCGTTCCCTTTCTGCCTTTCCCGTTCCCTTCCTGCCTTTCCCATTCCCTTCCTGCCTTTCTCCCATTCCCGTCCTGCCGTTTACCACCCCCTTCCTGCCTTTCCCGTTTCTCCTTCCCACCTTTCGCCCGTTCACTTCCCCCCCTCCTGCCTTTCCTGTTCCCCTTCCTGCCTTTCCCATTCACTTCCCCTCCCGCCTTTCTTCCCGTCCAACCTTTCCTGCTCCCTTCCCGCCTTTCCCGTTCCCTTCCCGCCTTTCCCGTTCCCTTCCCGCCTTTCCCGTTCCCTTCCCGCCTTTCCTACTCCCTTCCCGCCTTTCCCGTTCTCTTCCCGCCTTTCCCGCTCCCTTCCCGCCTTTCCTGTTCTCTTCCCGCCTTTCCCGCTCCCTTCCCGCCTTTCCTGTTCCCTTCCTGCCTTTCCCGCTCCCTTCCCGCCTCTCCCGCTCCCTTCCCACTTTTCCCGCTCCCTTCCCTCTTTTCCCGCTCCCTTCCCACCTTTTCCACTCCCCTCCTGCCTTTCCCATTCCCTTCCCGCCTTTCCCGCGCTTCCCGCCCAGCCCTGGGCTCCACGATGGCCGTCGGGGCGAGGGAGGAGGTGCCACTTTTGGGGTGCTGGGTTTGGGGTGTTGTTTTTGAGGGTGTTGGTTTCGGGGTGCTGGTTTTGGGATTGCTGGTTTTGGGGGTACTGGTTTTGGGGGTGCTGGTTTTGGGGTGCTGGGTTTGGGGTGCTGGGTTTGGGGTTCCTGGGTTTTTTAGGGTGCTTGGTTTGGGGTGCTGGTTTTGGGGTGCTGGGTTTTGAGGGTGTTGGGTTTTGAGGGTGTTGGGTTTGGGGTTGCTGGTTTTGGGGTGCTGGTTTTGGGGTGCTGGTTTTGGGGTTGCTGGGTTTGGAGTGCTGGTTTTGGGGTGTTGGGTTTTGAGGGTGTTGGGTTTGGGGTGTTGGGTTTTGAGGGTGTTGATTAAGGGGTGCTGGTTTTGAGGTGCTGGGTTTGGGGTGCTGGGTTTTGAGGGTGTTGGGTTTGGGGTTGCTGGGTTTGGGCCTTTTGGTTTTGGGGTGCTGGTTTGGGAGTTGCTGATTTTGGGGTCGCTGTTTTTGAGGGTGCTGGTTTTGGGTGCTGGTGTTGGGGGTGCTGGTTTTGGGGGTGCTGGTGTTTGGGTTGCTGGGTTTGGGGTTCCTGGTTTTTTTAGGGTGCTGGGCTTGGGGGTGTTGGGTTTGGGGTTGCTGGGTTTGAAGGTGTTGGTTTTGGGGTTGCTGGTCTTGGGGCTTTGGGTTTTGGGGTTCCTGGGTTTTGAGGGTGCTCATTTTGGGGTTCCTGGTTTTGGGGTTGCTGGTTTTGGGGTGCTGGGTTTTGAGGGTGCTGGTTTTGGGATTGCTGGTGTTGGGGGTGCTGGGTTTGGGTTGCTGGGTTTGGGGTTCCTGGGTTTTTTAGGGTGCTGGTTTTGGGGTGCTGGTTTTGGGGTTGCTGGTTTTGGGGTGCTCGGTTTTGAGGGTGTTGGTTTTGAGGATTTTGGGTTTGGGGGTGCTGGGTTTGGGGTCCGGATTTTGGGGTTCCTGGGTTAGGGGTTGCTGGTTTGGGGGTACTGGTTTTTAGGGTGCTGGGTTTGGGGTGCTGGTTTTAGAGGTGTTGGGTTTGGGGGTGCTGCTTTTGATGGTGCTGGGTTTGGGGTTCCTGGTTTTGAAGGTGTTGGTTTTGGGGTGCTGGCTTTGGTTTAGCTGGTTTTGAGGTTGCTCGTCTTGGGGCTTTTGGTTTTGGGGTTCCTGGGTTTTGGGGGTGCTGATTTTGGGGTTGCTGGTCTTGGGGCTCTTGGTTTTGGGGAGCTGGTTTGGGGGTTGCTGATTTTGGGGTTGTTGTTTTTGGGGCTGCTGGTTTTAGGGGTTGCTGGATTGGGATTTGCTGTTTTTTAGGGTGCTGGGTTTGGGGTCCTGGTTTTGAGGTCACTGGGTTTGGGGTTGCTGGGTTTTGAGGGTGTTGGTTTTGGAGGTGCTGTTTTTTCTTTTTTAGGGTGCTGGTTTTGAGGAGGCTGATTTTAGGGATGATGGTTTTGGGGTTCCTGGGTTTTAGGGCTGCTGGTTTTGGGGTTGCTGTTTTTGGGGTTGCTGGTTTTGGGGGTGCTGGTTTTGGGGTTCCTGGGTTTTGAGGATGCTGATTTTAGGGCTGCTGATTTTGAGGATGCTGATTTTAGGGCTGCTGGTTTTGGGGTTCCTGGGTTTTAGGGCTGCTGGTTTTGGGATGCTGGTTTTGGGGTTCCTGGGTTTTTTAGGGTGCTGTTTTTGGGGGGTGCTGTTTTTGGGGATGCTGGTTTTGGGGCTGCTGGTTTTGAGGATGGTGATTTTAGGGCTGCTGGTTTTGGGGGTGTTGGGTTTTGAGGATGCTGATTTTAGGGCTGCTGGTTTTGGGGGTGTTGGGTTTTGGGGATTGCTGGTTTCGGGGTTGCTGATTTTAGGGCTGCTGATTTTGGAATTGCTGGTTTTGAGGATGCTGATTTTAGGGCTGCTGGTTTTGGGACCCCCACGAGGGTGAGAGAGGAGGTTCTGCCTCCCCTCCTGCCTCCCTTCCCCTTCTTGGCCCCCCAAAAAACGAGGCCACCCTCAGAAGGCGGCGGCGGCGAAGGCCGCGAGCCGATCCCTCGCCGGGACGGCGCTTCCCGGAGGGGTCGGATGGTTTGGGAGGTGCCCTTTTTATCGTAGGGCGCTGCCAAGATGCTGCTGGAGACCGGGGAACACCCGGCAAAGCTGCGGGCGGACGTCTGCACCCCCGGGGGCACCACCATCCACGCGCTGCACCAGCTGGAGAAGGGAGCGCTCCGGGCCACCGTCATGAACGCCGTGGAGGCGGCCACCAACCGCGCCTGGGACATGGCCAAGGACTAGTTGGCCCGGCTCTTGTCCCAGGAAAGGGTGATGGGGACCAAAACCGGCCTCTTCCAGGAGATCCCGACACCCTCGGGAGAAGCTGGAGGGGGGGTGGGAAGGTGGCGTCGGGCACGTGTTACCTCAGCGGGGCCGCGGGCAAATAAACGTGGGCACACGTGGCTCCTCCGGGTGCCTTTGGTCCCTGGGGGCTGTGGGAGCCACCACGGGGTCACCACCCAGCCATGGGTGGCTCCTCCGGGTGCCTTCGGTCCCTGGGGGGTGTGGGAGCCGCCACGGGGTCACCACCCAGCCATGGGTGGCTCCTCTGGGTGCCTTCGGTCCCTGGGGGCTGTGGGAGCCGCCATTGGGTCACCACCCAGCCATGGGTGGCTCCTCCGGGTGCCTTCGGTCCCTGGGGGCTGTGGGAGCTGCCATGGGGTCACCACCCAGCCATGGGTGGCTCCTTGTGGTGCCTTCGGTCCCTGGGGGGTGTGGGAGCCACCACAGGGTCACCCCCCAGCCATGGGTGGCTCCTCCGGGTGCCTTCGGTCCCTGGGGGCTGTGGGAGCCGCCATGGGGTCACCACCCAGCCATGGGTGGCTCCTCTGGGTGCCTTCAGTCCCTGGGAGGTGTGGGAGCCACCACGGGGTCACCCCCCAGCCATGGGTGGCTCCTCGTGGTGCCTTCGGTCCCTGGGGGGTGTGGGAGCCGCCACGGGGTCACCACCCAGCCATGGGTGGCTCCTCCGGGTGCCTTCGGTCTCTGGGGGGTGTGGGAGCCACCACGGGGTCACCACCCAGCCATGGGTGGCTCCTCTGGGTGCCTTCGGTCCCTGGGAGGTGTGGGAGCCGCCACGGGGTCACCACCCAGCTGTGGGTGCCCGGGATGGTGCCGGTGCCACGCCGGCTCTGCTCCCCCCGGGGATGGAGTTGGTGCCGCCGTCGCCAAGGATGGAGGTGCCACCCGCCCTCACGGGCACCGTGCCCTCTGTGTGGCACCAGGGCCGGGGTTTTGGGGATGGGCTGATCCCAACTGAAGCCTCCCGGAGCTGGGAGAGCGGCCACATCCCTGCGGTGGGACACGAGGGACCGTCCTGGGCGCCGCGAGAGTTTTATTCCCAAAAATACAGGGAGGAAGTCGACCAACCCAAAAACCTCCACCGTGATCCCACAGACGGGTCCCTCTCCGGCTCCACGGGAATGGGATGGAAGCCTAGACCCATTCCCAGCTCCAGGGAGTGGAAACTCAAACTATCCAGCAAGGATCCAAACCTTTTCCATGCCCTAATTCAGTTCCCTTTGCCTGCCGGCACCTGCACGGATACAATGAACATTCCAGCTGATTTGGGAACTGCTTTGAGGGTGAAAAGGCCTTTTCTGGGCAAAACGTGGGTTTTGGGGAAAACATCTGGATGCTGAGCCTCTGGATCCTGTGGCTTTGACCCCATTCCCCAGGATTTGGTTGCCCCAGAGGCTGGTGGCACCGAGCCAAGAGAGATTCCACAGATTCCAAATTTATGGTGCTGCCAAGGCATGACCTGAGTGGGAACCTTCTCCAGGCACCCAATTAATTAATTAGCAAAGCTCCACAGGAACCAGAAACGGAGCTGGAGCCGGCCCGGAGAAGGGAAGGCTCCAGGGAGACCTTGGAGCCCCTTCCAGGGCCTAAAGAGACTCCAGGAGAGGTGGAGAGAGACTTGGGATGAGGGACGGAGGCACAGGACACAGGGAATGGCTTCCCACTGCCAGAGGGTTAGATGGGATATCGGGAAGGAATTCTTGGCTGGGAGGGTGGGGAGGGGCTGGGATGGAATTCCCAGAGAAGCTGTGGAAGTGCCCAAGGCCGGGTTGGAGCAAGCTGGGATAGCGGGAGGTGTCCCTGCCCATGGCAGGGGGTTGGAATTCCAAAGTCTCTTCCAACCCAACCCATTCCCTGCTTTGAAGGTCTCACCCCCCCGGATCAGGCCAAGCACCTTCTGCCGAGCTCGGCGACGTTCCTGTCACACAACCGAGGATTCCTTGAATTCCCAAACTCCTGCTCGAAACCAGCCACATCCCAAGCTCCCCAAAACATTTTTGTGGGGTCTTTTTTTTTTTTTTTTTGGGAGAAAACCACCCCCAGGGGACACACCCACGCCGAGGTCCCCCTCGGGCCCCCCCAAGCCCCCCTGGGATGGCTCCGCGTGGCTGTTCACAAACAACAGGCTCCGTGTGGGAATAAAAATCCATTTAATTTCCATAAACTCTGCAGTGAGGAGACCAAGACACGGAGAAACCTCCACCCCTCCGGCTGACACGGGGCAGCTCCGAGGAGTTCATCTCATTCCCCCCCCCTCCCTTCAGTCGTTGGCTTCAACCGGCTCAAATTTCATCCAGGTGGGGCCAAGAGCTGCCAAATTCCTCTCTCGAGGCCTCCAGAATTCCAAGGTGGCTCTCCCTGCTCCGACCTCAAACTCACCCAGACGTGTCGTCCAGCCCCAACCACCCCACAAAACCTCCCGGGAAGGAACACCCCGTTCCCGGAGCCTTCGGCTCCGCGGGGATGCCGGGATGAGGTACCTGCTCCGGCAGCTCTCCGTGGTCCAGGTGTTGCCAGCTGTGGTGGGAATGGTGGTGGTGACCTTTTCCAGGGAGCTGCAGCTTCTGGGATGCCACCCAAGCATCCCTTTCCCAATCCAGTGCACGGAGTTGCCTTCAACCGGCCCCAAACCGTCCTGGCGTAACGGGGATTTTGTTTCGACAGCGGGAAGGGCGTCACCAACCTCTGCCAGGCTGGAATATTTGCCCTACAGCACCTTGGGAGTGGTCCCTGTCCAGCTGGCTGGGCCCTGCTCCGAGATATTATCCCCAATAATCCCGGTGACACCGAGCAGGTCCCTCCCTAACC